CCCAACACTTCCTTATTATGCTTGTTGCTGGGTTTTCTTTACCACCACTTTTAATTCTGATCAAGTACGAAAGTGATATTTTGAAATGTCTCATTTCTAAAGGAGTTTCTCCAGCCTCTAGTAAAAGAGCATTAATGGAGGTAGTATTCTTTATACCTTATATTGTAATTACTATTTGTAATGCCGATCTTGCTTCTGCTCCATATACCATAAAAATCCATAATCTATTGCTGATCTCATGAGAGCCCTGTACATAAATATTCAGTAGTGACTGCTAATCAGCCCCCAATCATTCCCAGCCACTGTTTATTATTTTCTTGCACTGCTTAATAAGCATTTTCCATGCATATGAACTATTTAGCCATACTACTAAATATTTGAATTCTGCTACTCTATTTATAGGCTGATCATATACGTTTATTTCTCCTATATCAATATATCTTTTATTACTGAAAATCATATAAAAGGATTTACTGACTGACATTTTGAATCCCCAGTCATATGACCATTTTTCTATTTTATTCACAACTGTCTTCATATTTCCTGCTACGTGCGAGACATTTCTTCCCCTCATCCATATGGCTCCATCATCCGCATAAAGTGTTAATTTGATGCATTCATCTAGATTTAAAAATATATCATTAATCATAATGTTAAATAGTACAGGAGTGCTTAATGGCCTTGCTCCTTCTTATCTGTCTGAGCTGTTGCATTCTTATACGCCCTCCCGTTCCCTCAGGTCAGCTGATCAGTTGCTTCTGAGGGTCCCAAAGACAAAATGCAAGCTCAGAGGGGACCGTGCCTTTTCTGTGGCAGCTCCTAAGCTGTGGAATGACCTGCCTCTGAGCATAAGACAGGCCTCTTCTCTTGCTGTTTTTAAGTCCCTTCTTAAGACTTATCTTTTTTCCTTGGCTTTTGGCACAATTTGAGAGGTTTTACTTTGTTTTATTCTTTTTGTATACTAATATGTATTTTACACTCGTTTTTTCTCTATTTTATAATTTTATTGTATTTTATGATTGTGTACAGCACTTTGGTCCTGTCCGGTGCATAAAGTGCTTCATAAATAAAATTGGTATGGTATGGTATGGTATGTTTTCTACTTTAAAATGTCTTGAATATTCATCCCCAACTTTAACTCTTATTTTCCTTTCTGTAAAGAAACTTGCTATGCAGATATGCATTCTTCCACCTATTTCCATATTTTCCAAGTTAATCAATCCACATTGAGTCATACGCTTTATCTTTGTCAAAGAATACTACTATTTTCAATTCTCTCATTTTTAGACCTTTTTCTGTCATTGCTAATTCTCACCAGGGCATCCATTGCAGACCTTCCTGTTCTGAATCCACATTGATAGCTATTGAATATCTGCTTCTGCTCTAAAATAAACCCCAACCTCTTTACTAATATTTTCTCAATCCATTTTCACAAGTGAGAAGTCAATTCTATTGGTATGTAATAGAGTACTGTACTGCTGCATTACTTTTGAAATACTAAGTACTGCAGCATTTAGCATATGTTCCTTCCTGCCTGATTAGTGCACTCATCAACATTTCCTTTTAATGTCACTAAATGACTTGTTTGATCACGTAACTGTTTTAAAATTTGCCATTTGGCTTTATTAAAGCACCATTTTGTTATTTTGATTTAATCGTGTTTATTCAACTTATCTTTAATGATTCTCTTTACAGGAAAATTATGACTTCCTATAATGGATTCTCCCCTCACACCCCACTCACAAGAACTAACTATTAAATTAGATACTAAAGTTAAATCAAGGCATGACGTAATACCTTTATATATGTCAAGTCTTGTTCCCTGTCCATTATTAAGGGACACCAGTGACCTTTCATCCATCATTTCTTCCACTGTTTTACAATTATTATCCATCGGTCTGTTTCCCCATAGGCTATTATGTGCATTGAAGTCACCACACCAAATTTCTCGTCTTGTTATTTATCCTAAAATTTGATAAAAAACCTCACTTTCTAAATCTTTACATTGATTATAATAATTGCGCATCCTAATATTTCCACTATTTTCTAAGTTAAGTATTTCTACACTCACACATTCATACTTTCCAGGAACATGATTTCCTCTATATGCCAGTCCTTCTTTAATGAATGTTGCACAGCCTTCTCCATTACTGTTTTACTTCTATCTCTTCTGACTAAACTGTAACCAGGAATGTTAAAATCTAAAGATTTTAACCAAGTCTCCCGAAAACATATAACATCTGGAGCTGTTTCTAATTCATGTACATATTTTTTAAATTCTTCACCATTTACTAAGAGACTTGTAGCATTCCGTTTAAGAATATGTATGACCATTAAAAAACAAACAAACCATTACTTGATCATTTCCAGCTGATCTCAGAAGTTTGTGAAAATGATCTGCTTGGACCTCTTTCATGTCAAACCATCCTGCTGCTTCTACAGTCGTTTTAATTTGATCACTTTTCTTTTTCATTTCCACTGTAACATTAATAATGTGACAAATAAATGCCACAAAGTTATCTTTTTTCACCGTCATTGTATTTTCATCTACGTTACATTTGCTTACATTCATTATGTTCAATCTTTTGAACTGACAATGGTTTGCTTCTCTTTACTTTGTGAGGCCTTATTTTCCTGACTTAAATTTTCTTGATTTGTTTCTCTAGTTCCCAGGTCATTTGTACTTTCTTTTCTGACTTTTCTTAATGCCTCAGCATATGAAACCTTTTCTGTTATTTTTATTCTTCCTGCTTGTCTTGTTTCCCTTTGTACTATGCATCCACCATATGCTGCACTATATTCTCCTCCACAGTTACAACATTTTGCTTTGGAGTCTTTGTCATACTTTCCTTATTCATGTGAACCTCCATATCTTGCACACCTTATTTTCCCTTTGCACTCCATTCTTTGACAAACAAAACACCTTAATGGATTGGGAATATATTCTCTCACCCTGAAGTTTATGTAGCCAATCTGCACAGATTCTGGAATCACATTCTCAAACTGCAATTTTATTGCCATGGTGTATTTAACAACTCCATCTCTTTTGTGTTTTATCCTTGTTGCATCAATACCTTATCCACCTTTAATTTCTTGTTTGACATCATCCACTGTCATGTCAAGTGGGACTCCTGTAATTACTCCTCTTAATCTAGCAGCTGTGCCGGGAATGTATGATTTGATTCTTTCACCCACAAGAGTTGGCATTTTGAGAATCTGTTCTTGTTGTTTTTTTGTTTACAGCATAAATTAATATCTATGCCAGTTTTCAAATTTGTTCATTAGCCTAGCTGACTTGATTTGTCCAAATTCCTTCTCGATTGCTTTAGTTAGTTTTATCGGATGTACGGTAAGTGTCCTTCCTTTTGTTTAAACTCGACTGTCACTTTCCCCTCTTCCGCTGCACCTGTTTTTCTTGCACTTGTTTTTGTCTTTTTGCTTTTTTCCTCTCTAACCACACTCCCATCTGACCAACTTCTATCTCTTTCCTGTCTTTGCCTTATTTCTCGTTTTCTCCATGAAGATCTTGACATCATCCACTCCATTTCCTCTCCACTATTTCCACCTGATGTGGAAGCCATTAAGCTACATTCCGAGTACAGCTTATGCAATCCACCAAAAGAGTTCAACTCCTACTAACTTCTCACTCCACTTGCAATTCTCCTCTGCCCTATCTCTGACTCCCCTATCGCCACCTGTGTCACTGTCTAAGCTAAAGCCCTTTTAAAAATGCATGGACTCAGTGGGACCGGCGAGGAAGCAGAGCTGGATCCAAACATTGATGGTCTTTATGCAGAAGCCCACATAGAAAAGCCAAGGGTGTTAAGGTAAAGAGATTTATGGTCAGATGAGAAAAATGTAGCTATTTTGTCTCAGTGATGTGAAATATGTTTATGGAAGTCAAGTTTAGTTTTTGAAACTCCAAATACACTTAGGCTCTGTACCAAAACCGAAATGTGATTTAGCTTAAGGTTCACAGAACTACTTTGATCAAAGCACAGCAGCATGGCTACCTTTGAATGACTCGTTACAAAAAGAGGGAAGGTTTGGGATGGTCTAGCAGGAGTCTGGACTTGAATCCAGTTCAGGTTTTGTTGTCTATCATTAAACATACGTAGGAAGCCCCAAAGTCAGTCCTCGAAGTCTGCTGTCCTGCAGGTTTTAGAGGTTTCCCTGCTCTAGCACAGCTGATTCTGATGATTGCAGTTCAGCACAAGCCTGTTAATCAGCAATCAATGAAAATCAGCTGTGGGAAAAACCTGCAGGACAGCGGCCCTAGAGGACAGACTTTGGAGATGCCTAATAAACACATTCATAATAACAAAATCTTTAGTGTGGCTGAAAGGAAACATTTCTGCAAAGGACAGACTCAATGCCAGTTACTGTAAACTTTTAGTGTAAAATTAACTGTGAAATTGGCCTAGGACTCTGTTATGTTCCCAGTACTAAAGACATAATACTAAATCTGTTTTTATGAGGAAATACACAGGCAAGAAAAACATACTGTAACTTATTGGTCCTTTAAAAATGTAATTTGTTATGTTTAAAATTTTGTGGCTTACTTAAACCATGAACTATTGCCCTGTTATTTATTTATCTATTTTGTTTCATTACTTAATTCTGTGCTGTCACTAGCAAACACTGCCACCCATGCCTGCCTGGTAATTTTGGTCTAGAACTTTCATTGGCATTTATCATATGCTAGATAGAAAAATAAAGTTAAATAGACCAAAGGATACTGTATTTGAGGGTTCCTATGAACATATGACTGTTTATATGGCCTAAACTAGATAATAACTTAGACCAGGTTAGTTCTGTATGTTATAGGACACACATTATGTGACTATTTTGATGTATAAAATCCAAACACATTCACTTCCTTGTATTTTTCGCAACAAGGAAAGCCTAGCAAACAGGAAAAGGTAGCCTGTAAAGCCCGAGGGTGAAGACAAAAGAAGACTCAGAGTTAAAAGACATTTTTTTGTTTGTTTCGAGCTTACCTTGCTCTCAAACACTTCTCCCTTTATAAGTTCTGCTTAACATTTCACTGTCTTCCACATAATAAACACCACAAAAAACCCAGCCACAACAAGCACCCAGGGAACAGGAAGAACAGGAAGCAGATATAATAAAACAGTCGGTATGATGATGTTACGCAATACTGAACTTTGATTTGGCTCACATGGCTGCAGGAGTTACCCTCTGATCTTTCCCTCTTCCTGAATCCGGGTTTGGAAAGAGATTTGCTGATGAGAGCAGGATCCCTGAGGTAAGACAACAGATGGTAAATTTCTGACTCAGCGTTTATTGCGCAGAAATCACTGATAGCCTTTGCGTCAACACACCTCAGGATGCTGCTGCTGAGCGGAACGGCAGGTGGATCTACTTAACACCTTTATTAGATAACATGCAACCGCTGTGACCATTATTAAAGAGAGGTAACATTCAGTAGAGCCCTTTTTTCTGTTATTTCATCAGTGTCCCCTCTAAGTTTATTCCCTAACGTCTCAGAGCATATAGATGATGGTGAAGGTCATATTATTTTGATTATATTCCCTTTTTCGTATTATTTAATTGCCTCCTGACTGCTGACCTCAAATCATTAATCCATTAGAGCTTCCCTTGCTTTTGCATTTTCATAATCTGGCTATTTCTTCATGCAATTGAAAAACTTATGTTTCATTGTTTAGAATATTGTTGTGATTAAAAACACAAAAATCAAAATCAATCGAATGGTGCAGGAGAAAAAAAACTCTTTCTAAAAGGAAAGAGATTAAGTATTCCCATTTGTTTCTAATATAGAGAATAATCTTTTGCCATAAAGGTAATATAACTAAGACTCTTCATCTGCTGTAGCCAGGTTTATGCATATGAACAACAAAATGCCAACATATTCCAAGACCAGTTTGTGGAACACCCTCTGATGTTCTGTTTCCTAAAGAATAAGAAGTCCTCAGCATACATTTCAAAAACCTTTATCCTCTTCGAAATGTGTATTATAATAGCATTACAACCAATGTTTCCCAGACTAAATAAAGAGGTTTACAAAAACAATTCAATTTTTGCAATGGTCGAGACAGAGCAAAGGGCTAAAAAAAAGATTCCTGAAAGTGTCTGTGGCTCAAATTCCTTCCCATAAGGTGTTGCTCCTAAATCCTAAAACTGGGCAGACCTGAATCCTGTCATCCAAGCACTGAGCATTGGAGGGAGTCCAGCAGCTACTGCATATAATCCCCCTGCACGCTCTCCACATCCACAGCCGAGTTGTTGTTGTTGCCATGAGGACGGCTGAGTTGCAGAGAGAACGGAGCTGCAGCATCACACTTCCTCTGGAGTTTGCGTTCTTAAAATGGGAGGAGGATGAGGAGGAGGGTGAAGCTTTCCTGTTGCCGCTTGCTTTTTTGCTTGCTCAAACTGCTTGTTACTTGAATGGAGGGTCTGAATCATCTCTGCTCATTTTCACCGTTGGCAACAGCAACACCAGATATTTGCATTTGAAACATGAGCACTTCATTTTGAAAAAAGGTGAGTTGACATTTCAGATTCTTTGTTATTCAATCAAAAAGTGTTTTAGTTATGTTAGTTTTAGGGGGCAAAGTGTTTGAGCTTGACTTAGATGCGGCATCATCAATAAAACGAAAATATTTTGCACCTGATCGCTGTTTTCACATTGAGTTATGGGTTCTGAGCTATGCAGAGCTGCTGCCATCCTCATCACATTCTTTGTGTAAACAATAATCTGCATCAAGATTGTTTCAGCTTCCTAGAAAGAATCTTCTCGGAATGAGAAGGTCCTTATTTAGATGCAGTGAAAGAAGTGGCATATCACTTTAAAAGTTAATGTATAAACAGAGATATCTAGAAGAGAGGTAAAAGAAACAGTATATTATTTGAGATGCAAGAAAGAGGAGATGAAAGCAAGAGCTGAAAAAAATAAACCATCCTCCTCTTCCTTTCTCTTCATCTGACGTGTTGCACACTTCATAGTGTTGGCAAGTGATAAGCAGAGATGCCAACACTGATCACACCTGTAGGTGTCATTTCTTTCTCCATTTATTGTCAGTTTAAAGAGATTTTAACAGCAAGGCTCACATTTTCCAATGAGCCGTACCTCCATATACCTGCAGCCAGCTTCCTCTATATGAGACAGTTATATTTAGAGTTTATAGAGATTGTTGTTTTCATGCTAACACAGCATTATCACATTCACAGGCAAGAGAGAGAACTCACTGGGTGTCCCTGTGTGATAGATACTGGGCGTTTTTCCCAGTGACAGATCATCTCAGCTGTTGATTTAAACTCACATTCAAATTCGCTTGTGTTCTGCCCCCTGCTGGCAGCTTTTCTAACCATATGTAAACAAAAAGAGATTAGGAAGATTCAAAGGTTTGAGAAAAAAAAAATCATGACCTTTTATAATAAGCTTTTCTAATATTACAGCTGTTATGTGATCATAGTTCTAGGAATAATAAAGCCATGAACTTTGTGTCACTAAAATATAAACATAATTTTGTTTCTGGAGGATTATGTCTGAGCTGAGTGAAATTTATCTTTGAGACTCTTTTACTCAGATTTTGTGGATATCAGTGTAGCTTTTATTGCAGAAATATTAGCTACTTTAAGGATTTCAATTTGCAAAAAGTGGATATTGCATGATTTTCTTTTAGTTAGGTAAAAACTGTACACTTTATATTTTTATGTATTTTCTTTAGTGTTAGAAAATGGTTGTGCTGTTACCTTTACTTAGAGTAATTTTGTTTGTTGCTTTTTTTAAAGGTTTAAATTTGTTTAGAAATCAGAAACACAAGTTTAGAGAGTTTTATTCCCTTATTTATGTTCTTTTATTAGAACATATTTTGGATATATATAAATAATTAACATTTACTGCATTTTTTCATAAGAAAAGTCAATATCAGAATATATTAAGTTTTAATTAAATAATAATTATATTATTTGAGCAACTTGTTCAAATAATATAAGGCTCCGTTTTTCATTCTGACCATAAAACAGTTTCTGCACGTGGGACCAGCTGCACTGGTGACATAACGCTAGTTTTTAATAAGGAGGGTACATGCATTATTGTGATTCAAAAATCACAAACTTCTATATGTATTTATTAAGTACAGTTAAAAGAAAATCCAAAGAAAGACTAAAAGAATAAGAAGCTAGAGAAACAATTTAGCATAAAACCTAAAACTGACATTTTGTAGCATGAAGCACCTATTGATTCAGATTTTTATGCACTTGTCAATGTTATGTTAGTTTAAATGATTAAATAAAGGGTAACTGCCCTTGTGAGATATCTGAGACATCTGAATATTTGCATTCTAAAGCCATAGTTTACAGGGAGGTTTCTAAGGATGAAAAGATGTTAGTCTCAAAATGGTATAATTCATGACAGAGTTACAAAGTGTGGAGAATTTTATAAAACATACAGTACAATAGGGCCTTTAGGAGAAAATGCTTCAAGGGCTAAATTATAAAATTAAATCAAATGGAGCTCTAACTAAGTACTGCTTTTAACAAATATCTTTCATTTTCTTTGGAATTGTATATGATAAGAGTCTAATTACTGTATATGATGAGAAACATCATACTCTTATTTCACTGCGTATGGTACAGCCCTCCAGAGCACTTTGTGGTACCTATGTGAAGTCCTAAGTAATGGAACTAAACCTCATAGGCTCCGTTTTTCATTCTGACCATAAAACAGTTTCTGCACGTGGGACCAGGTGGAAAGAAAGTGTTTTGTCTGTCTTTCTTTAATACACTCAGTGTGCTGATTCAACAGAATAAGGAATTTCAGTCTTTGCAGCTTAAACTAATACTGATATGTTAGCTGATAATTGAGTGTTATAAAAGAACAGTGACATCTGGGGCTGTTTCAATCGAAACCTTTTACATTAACAAAGCTTTTTGCAATGAATTCATCTGCATTTGATTACCCTGCTAATTAATTTATCAACATCCTTAGAGATCAGAGCAAAAACTCAAGCTGTAAAATGTAGCGTCTTTGTCGGAGATAAAAATAGTGCTCAAAGATACAAAGAGATGAAATGTTGGCTAAAGAGATAAAACAAACCCTCATTGTGAAGCCTGATGTGAATACAGCTTATTTTCTGTATCACTCTATCAGCACACATACAGTAAGAGCACACTGGCTGTACAGCCTACTCTTTGTTTGTAGTGTTTTTGCCTTCTTACAAATCCTGCAAGAGCTGTCAAGCTAAAATAAAACCTCCCTTTTGACTACTGCATCCAAGAGCCTCAATCCTTGTTGCTAAGGTTACATCCGCACCATCAGTTGGAGCTATATTTTTTTTAAAATGTGCTTTGACTTCAGGTTTTCATCATCCGACTCAAATAGTTGCAAGAGTATTTGTTGCATATTGTTAGAGATGACAACAGGTTTTCCTTATGTTGTTTCCTGGACTTAAAGTGAAATGCATCATAACTTATCTCTTCTCTTTAATGAATATTTAAAAACAGAGCAGACATTTTCCACACATCTAAGGAATATATATAAAAAAGGCGATACTTATAGTTTAAGAACAGAAAAAAGACAAATTTTCAGCATTCAATTCTTGAAATTCATGAAATTTGCTATTGACAATAAAAGTAGCATCTTCCTATAGCCAAGCTAAGGCAACTTCATTTATAAAGAACATTAAAAGTGGTTAAAAAATGAATGAATTATAAATGAAATAAATAGAAAACATAAAAATGTTTACATAAATATGTTATAGTTAGCACATTCATACAAAGATTACCCACAACCGCTTTTGTGCTTTTTAAATTTCTTCACTGTTTGTTTGCAAGGAGGCGAACCTTCGTGTCATCTATTGTATTAAAGCAGTCTTCATAAATCAGTGCTGTAAAATGTTTCCCTCTTCTTGCTTTTTTGACTCTTAAATCATAAAGCAAACAGAATCAGACAAAGTTAACTCAAGTTCATTCAAAAGGTAGTTTTAAAATAGTGATTTTATTTAGCAATTGAAAGTTATGTGAACTGACCTGAACCGATGTGGAAAAGTATATCCTCCCCAGGAACTTTCTGTAGTTTTTTTTTTTTTGTTATCCCTCTCATGCAAAAAAACAATGTGACAAAAAGAGAAATAGATTAAATCTATAAGATGACAATTGCTTTTTCAAAGTTTCATAGCCTATTAAAGACATCTGAATCAGTTATAATCTTCATAATGTTAAAAGAAAGGGATATCAGAGTAAATATTTTCACATTAAAGTATATTCTTAATATAGTATAAAAAAGTGCAGGTTGCTACCTTTTTTTTAAACTTAAATATTCTTATTTAATAGAATTCATTTTACTTTTACTTTAAAGATTGAAGGATTTACATGCAGTATAATACAGCTAACCCCTTTTAGCCAAAATGAAATTCTTCATATTTAGCTGCTCTTGAATATTTCAAAAAATATATATACGACCCATTCTTATACTGACATGTTTAGAACAGACTTCACTGTGTTACAGATTTTATGTTCCTTTGCTTCTCACCCACAGGCAGATCTCCAGATGTTTAAGGGGACTGCAGCCCACCTATGTTTGTACTGGAGAGCTGTGTACCTGCTGGCTGCGGGGGTGGCATTACCGTCTGAAACGCTCTGGCTGTGTCCACCTCCCTGTCGCTGCAACGCTGCTGTTCTGGAGGCGAACTGCTCTGGTGCTCAGCTCGGTGTCGTACCCAATGGTCTCCCACAAGATGCCGAGCTGCTCAACTTAACCCAAAACGCCATCAGGACTTTGGTGAATCAGCAGTTTCAAACACTAACTCAGCTTTTACACCTTGATCTAAGTGACAATCTTTTGGCATTGGTTGAAGTGGAAGCCTTCTTCGGTCTGCAAAATCTGTTGACGCTGAATCTTTCATACAATCACCTCACAATTATTTCAGTGGGAGTGTTCGCTGGTTTGACAAACTTACAGTTACTGGATATAAGTAGCAATAAGATTCTTGTGTTCTTAGACTTTACTTTCAGGGACTTAGCATCTCTGGAGGTTTTCCTAGCAGACGATAATGACATTGTTTTTATCTCGAATCAAGCCTTGGCTGGACTAAGTAGACTACAGATGCTGGATCTTGATGGCTGTAACCTCACTGCTGTGCCAACAGAGGCGCTCACTCACCTGAGTGTTTTGAAAAGCCTTCATGTTCACCAGCTGGGCCTCAAAACGCTACCAAACTACTCTTTCCATTCTCTGCTGCACCTTAAAGAGCTCGTCATTACTCATTTCACCAGGCTGGAAACTCTGTCAGGCAACAGTCTCTTCGGCCTTAACCTTACATCCTTAACCATCAAACACTGCAACCTCAATGAGGTACCTTACACTGCTTTGCATCACCTTGTATACCTCGTGTCCATTGACCTTTCTTTTAACCCTATTACCTACATCCATGGAAACCTTCTTGGTGACTTGCTAAGGCTTCAAGAGTTTCATTTGGTCGGCGGCTCACTGGTAAACATCGAAATAGGAGCATTTAAAGGTTTGGGATTCTTAAGATTGCTGAATGTTTCAAGAAATCTTCTCACCACACTTGAAGTGGGATCCTTTCATTCAGTGGACACCTTAAAAAGCCTGGGACTTGATGACAACCCCCTTGCTTGTGACTGCCGCCTGCTTTGGGTGACTCAAAGGAGGCTTTCTGTGGACTTTGGCAGGCGGCCGCCGACCTGTATGACCTCCACCAAGCTGCAGGGCTGGAGTCTTCTGGAGTTTTCTGAAGAGGAGCTACAAAGTCTGCTTACCTGCCGGCAGGCTCGAATTGTGGACCGAAGGTCACAAGATGTGAAAATAGATCAAGGACACTCTGTGGCGTTTTACTGCAGTGCACAAGGTGATCCCCAGCCATCTGTCATCTGGCTTAATCCACAGCTAAGGCAGGTTTCTCCAGTTGGCAGGATACGGGCCCTCTCCGATGGCTCCCTGGAGGTCCGCTACGCTCAGCCACATGATAGCGGAATGTATATCTGCGTGGCATCCAACGCAGCAGGGAATGAAAGCCTGCATGTCAGTCTTCATGTCCAAGCCTTGCCATCACCCTCCAAAAAACGCTTTCGTCTTAAAAGTTGGCTGACTTTTCCGTCCTCTCCTCCAGGAGGGGACAGAAATGAGACTCTCCCATTCGATGTGAAAACCCTTCTAATTGCAGCAACCATCGGGTTCCTGTCGTTCTTTGGCTCTGTGTCTGTGTGCTTCATTTTCATGTTCTTCTGGAGCAAAGGAAAGGGGCAAATAAAGCACACAGCAACAATTGAATACGTGCCGCGAAGTGCCATGAACAAAAGTAACACAGGTACATCAAACTACATGGAGACAAGCAGATTTACAATGAAGCTCATATGAGTTAGTTTGATTTACAATAAAGCAGAGAACTAAAACAATGTGAAACTCAACATTCTTAATTGTTTTCATTTTTACATCTGATGTTACTATATTTTACTAACAGCAGAGTCCTGTTATTTGAATGCATGAAGCATGTTCTGTTCCAGACATTATGAGGACTACAGATTGGCTTCTTAAAATATATTCAAGTATTATTTTAATGCTTCTTGCCATTAGAAAGAAAAAGGTTGCAGCTCCTCAAAGTGCAAACATCTTAGACTGGGAACCACATGCGTGAAAGGTGGAGATTTTGACATACAAGCTAGAGATGAACCACTGAGTTTTTTTGGACTGATATTTGTCTTTATTATTTTATTTCCTTGAGGATCATGATATCTAAAAGATGAGGTAAATGGTAGAACAGGTACTCTGATAAATAAGAGTTTTTAATTAAACAGAAAAAGAAGAAAGTCCAAGGCTGTAGTGTAATGAATGAATGAATTTAGAGTTTTGCATACATCAGTATGTCCAGCCTTTAAAGGCTGAAAAGACACCAATATAAACACAAACATAAGGACCAGATATAGCGGGCACAGTAAATTCATGAATTATTTAAATAAACAAGTCAGCTGCCTTCTCCAGGCTTTACAAATAAAGACAATTTAAACACATTTAAATCAAACAATATTTTGATCTTTTCATTATAAAAGAACCAGAACATGTCAGACTTTTTAATCAATAATTCATCAAACAACACTTTTCTTAAATGTTGCATTTCCCCATAGAAAGGGAAATATAACAAAAGATTTATTTCATTATTCACATCTCCCAACTCAGATAAACCAATAAGCCTCTTCTCTTCTGTTGTTTGAGAAAACCTTCCAGTTTCTGAAGCCAGGTGAATACCTGGATACATGTGCTCAGATGAGCAATCAGACATGTTTGGTTCCTTGTCTAACTTCCCTGTACATAAAACTGTTTCATAAACATCCTTTATTTGTACATAGGCTAATAGCTTTGGCATATGTTATGCATAACCATTTTAGTTTAATTGGGAATACATTTTGTTCTAATTTAATTAAGACAACAGGGATATTTATTTTGTAATATACATTAGCAGAGTTATCCCTACCCAATAGTAAACATTAACTAAACTAAAAAAGGTTTGCCAGAATGCATTCTGTAGGGACAAGCATGATTTTGCTTTAAAAATCAGTCCAAACCAATCCAAGTCAGCAAATGAATGACCTAAGAACTGCATAAATAAAGTCAACACTAAAACATGATGTCCCTACATCCCAAGGTGGAGTGGTGGCTTAGTGGTTAGGGCTTAGAATCCTTAGCTTTTGAGTTCGAAACCCATTGCCACTCTGGTTCTTTGGGCAAGACAACACTTGGCCCTGCACTGTTCCCTGGGCACCCCATGTGGCAGCCCACTGCTCACCAAGGTGATGGGTTAATCGCAGACTTCTGTTGCATTCTGCTTGTGAAAAGCAGAAAAGTGAAAAAAAAACCAACAACAAAAAAACGCTTTTATTTCTTAAGTTCTTACAACTATTAGATGTTTTCAAGGACATAATATGGGTTGAAAAGTTTTTTAATTATACAGCGTAGTTTAATTTTTTTGAATGTCACAAAATCCTGCTGTTTTACTTGATGCATGTAGATATTCAAGCTAAATTAATTTAAAGTCTTTAAAGCTTTTGCATACATCACTGAATCCAAAAATTTGTGTCTGAATTTTTTTCTTAATGCACACTTTACTTTTTATTGTAATCAGAGTGTGGATTAATTTTTCACCAATTTGTGAGAATATAATGTGAAGGTTATTTTCATTTCCATTAAGCGCTCTTCAAAATTGGATAGACAGGAGAATTAGCTGTTCAAATCAGGCATATCTGTTGATCTTCGTTATTAAAAAAGTGACAAAAAAGTGAAAAACTTACAAAAAATTTACAGTCAGTGCAATAATTTATTGGATTGGATAATTAAAGTTAATTTATTAAAAGTAAATTCTCTTTACACGTCTTCACCACACATGCAAATATTTTTGAAGGATGTTGATCCCTGCCAAAAAATAAAAAGTTTCAAAACAAGAGTAACAAAAAACATTAGCTAAATTAACTAGCCCTCTAGTTTGCTTATATATGTTTCATATTTTTCTCTTTACAGAAGGTAGCCTATATACTGTATTAGACAATAATATAACTTCTTGTTTTTTATCTTTGGATATTGTGAAAAGGGATTTTAGCATTATGTTGAGGCAACATACTATCAGCACAACATCCTGTTTCTCAGTGCTTATTGTTCCTTTCTTTTTTCTAATATTGTCACATAAAGTGTATATTATGCAATCAGTTCATTATTTAAAGTTTAACATTTTTGATATGACATAAACTGCATGAAATAAAACGCCTGATCATTGCAAAGGTTTCATTTCATCCACCAGAGAGTGGAGCTATTTGCACACATTGTGAACACAGAAACACTGTGAAACAGTAAAATATATACAAGTGCTTGTGAAGAACTGATGAAATAAATGACTAATTCTAACAACTGGCTCATGATGGCTTTCATTTACCACCACAGCCAACAGTCACAGCTGCCTCTGTTGCTGTGATGTTCAAAAGCTGGTGTTGTTGCTATGACGACACAATAACTCTGACAGTATGGAGCACTGAATGAGAGAGGAGAACCAAGATGTTTCCAGAGCAACGTTCAAAAAATGCCTCTTTACAAGAGTTTTTGATCTCAATTATTATTTCATCTGGTAAGATAAATGTTGTAAAAAAAAAAAAAAAAAGAAAAAAAAATAGTACGGTAAAGCTAAAAGTCTACATTTTAAACTAAAGATAAATATATAGAACTTAGAGAGATGCTTGAAAATTTTCAAGGTCATTGATAAAAAAAATAAATCACTAGCACTGAATGAAGTTTAAAAGGTTCTCATCAAATTTTCATACTACAGTCAAAGGTTTAGTTTATTTCTTTCTTTTCATTTTTTGATGTGTGGCATTTTGACCATTTTTTTTTATCCCTTGTGACATTTGATGAAAGTTATACTGTAAATGTGTGTATGGAAAAATAATTAAAAAAATATCAGAATATTGATAATGATATTGATTCAGCAAAAAAGATATTGATAGGACCTTTTACATTTTTTCAAGATGAGAAGCTAAACACAGCATCTACATCAATTAACTAAAAAATATTTTTGTTATATATCTAATACTAATATATCTAATACTAGTACTACATTTTTATTAATTAAATCTACATTCTACAAAGTTAAAAGTTCTGAATTGGTTACATCACTAGATATAGTTAGATACACTTCAATAGAATAGAATAGAACAGATAGAGTAGAGCAGAATAACGGTAACAGTATTCCTGTGCACTAAAATAAAAAATCTAACAATTAAAAACTTAAAACAAAGCCTTGTTTGGAGAACGATTGGGATTTTTGATATAAGACTGTCTTGCAGTGCAATTTTCCTTTATGTCATAATAAAATCTGAAAATATATGTTTCCCTTCTAATTCACTGTCATAGTAACATGTCTATTTATAAAAATTAATTAAATCCAATAACAAAAAAATCATACACAATATAAACTCTTTATTTTTCACGTTTAACAGTATGGTGTTAAAACTCTACAATTATATAAGTAGATACCATTTTATTAAAAGTGAATTCATTTTAGTAACTTGAGAAACTGTATTTCTGTTCTGTACTGTTTGTAGGTTGCACAAATATAGGCTTCAAGGTTGCCATTGGCAAAACAGCTTTTAATCTAAAAACGTGCTTCGTTGAAGGGTATTTAAATCAGGGAAAAACAAATCTACCGAGACATTTTATTTTGAAAATCTAATAATATACTTACCCGGAAGTACATTAAAAAGTTCCGGAAGTGTTTTGCTGCCGCTAAGATTAGAGCTAGCGGTTAGATCCATTGTTAGTTTTTTCTATTAAATGTATCGTAATTTACACATTTGTTTAGTTGGAATGTTTTCACTACTATATTAGAAAGTAAAGATGGTAACAGAAAAAAACATTTAATTGATCAAAAGCTAAACGACCGCAAAACAACAGGCAGCACAAACAAAAGCTAAGGTTTGTTAGCATTGCTTACAACTATGAGTTTGGCAGTTAAACGCGAACCCAGGAAGACTGCGGGAAACCGCATGTCTAAACTGTTGGATGCCGAAGAAGAGGATGAGTTTTATAAAACAACGTACGGAGGCTTCAACGATGTGAGTAAATACTCTGGAATAGTAAACAAAAAACTGATAACCATAGGCTAGCATAAAGATGCTAATGTAAACATTCTACTGATTTAAACAAATTAAACCTATTATTTTCACAATTGTGAAAGTTTAGGAGTTAATCATTTCAAAATTGTATATATCTATTTCAAGTCTATTTTTCAAACTTAAAATAAAAGGATTCACCCAAAAAACTGAATGAAAGTGCCAATTTATTACTTTTAGAATAACATATATACAAATATTTGCTTTGTAAGTATTTACTTTCGTAATTCTTTTTACTCAGACCTGCCCAATTATATATACTAAATTCAACAAAACTTCAGTAGTTTTCAGATAGTTTTCTGAATTCTTTTTTTCTGGTTTGGTTTTTGTAAAATAAGAAAAGTATAATAAGCCAATAGTAGCTGGTAAATTAGTCAGGAACATTTGGACTAAAACTGTAATCAGTTCTTCTTCTTCTTATGAGGTTTTATGGCAGCTGGCAAACTAGTTAAAAGTGCATTACCGCCACCAACTGATAAGCAATTAAGCAGGGAAACAAGAAACGCCTCACCCCCAGAAAAAAAATAAAAATAAAAAATAATATTTTTCTAAACTGTTTAGCTGAACCCAAATAATAAATGCTTAATCACATTTGCCCTAATAATTTCTAATTTATCTTTAATGTATCATCACTCTGCCAGTTTCTAATGGTCCTATTGGTTTTCCCATCATGCTTTCCACCATTTCCCAGTTTAAATCTTTAACTTAAAGATACTCTTCTGCAGCTTTCACTAGGGCTGGGTATTGTTCAAATATTTTCGGTGCCGGTACCAATACAGATACCTTCACTTCGATACAGGTTCCTGAACGATACTTTTTCGATACCAGTTTTATAATATAATTTACTTAGCAGTTTTACTTTAGAAAAATTAACATGTCTGCTTTCTCAGGAGACAAACAAGCCCCTTGAATGGGAATCTTACTGACAGTGCACTGCTGGTATGTGAGGGTCTGAGCGGCTCTGACAGAAATAATATTGGAAGGCAGGATGGTAATCTGGATGAACTGACTGCACTGATTGAGTTTTCAGGTGGATTTTCCCATTTAAAAACATAATAAAATACTTTATTCCCACTGATCACAGCAAATATAGCTGCAAGGCAAATAAAGAATAGAGTAGCTCCGCCCAACGCGCGTCAGAGAGCCAGAGCAGCAAAGCTGCTTCAGCCGCGCGTCAGAAGCTGGTACAAGCAGCAAAAAGGAAGCAGCAGATGCGATTTTGCTGCTCTTTCTGCGTCCGGTGTGAAAGCAGCATGATTCACTCCGCTCTGGCTTTGCTCTGCCCACGGGCTGCTGAGAGGAGGATGGTCGCGCCGGCTGCGGTCCGCTCTTCTTGCAGTCAAACACCGAGCAACTTTCTGCTCTTAATCTAAATCTAAATCTGAATCTAAATTGTTTCCGTGCACGATGTATTGCATTGTGCGCTATTGGCATCAGTCTTAATAAAGTGAAGCCACATTTTTGACCTAGGGGGCATTTTAAAGGGGTTCCACGACACTCACCACCGGTTCACAACAAATACACAGGAACCCTGGCTGTAGGCGTGACCACCTATGTATTTTTCCTGGATGACGCAATCATGTTAAGTGTTACAACCAATCATCGAAACTTTGCATGTTTCGATACTCTGTAGAACCAAAGCATTTCGGTCGGTACCATCAAAGAACCGATGTTCGGTACCCAGCCCTAGCTTTTACTATTATTTTGATTTTTTTGTTTTTTCTCGTCATCTGTGCACTACAATTGATCACTTCAACCATGAGAAGAAAGAAATCTTTCTTTCTTTTTTTTTTTTTTTTTTTTTACAATTAATGAATCTTTAATTTTGGGACCTTGCTCCAGAGGTTTTGAACTTGCCATGTGCTGAACTGTTGGTTTGGGTTTTTCTGACTGGGATGGGATCCTTTTTGCAGCTTCAGCATGTTATTCAGAGATCAAATTTCAGTTTTTTTATTTCTTCAGAAATTTTCCTTTACATACAGCTGCTATATGTTAAAATGTTTGGCATTTGAAGCATCTCAGAGGCAGAGGATTGTACATTTTAACATTGTAGCTCATGTAGCCAATGAAAACTTTGCTGGGTAATTGCTCTTCTTCAAATTTAATCAACACAGATAAGCTATCACACTTTTCACAGTTTCCTGTTGTTTTTAACCTTTTAACTTCTTTTACTTTTGCACAACTTATGTTTTCTAGAATCTCC